ATGCGTGTGCGATCTTTAAAGCTTAACAAGAAAGAAAAATAAATTTTGTTGTTTTTAAAGTTATTTTGACTTTTGAAATTATACAATTAATGTTATACTACTACTATTTATAGATCCAGGAATTTATAGATTATAATATTTATAGATCATTTTTTTCATTCTTGTCTTAAAGTTTTTCATGTATTGCTTCATGTCTTTTTAGTCGATTTTAATTTCCTTATTTATTTCATTTATTGTTGCTCACTTCTTAGATACACAATTTCACTTTCTTATTTGATGTCATTTAAAATTTTGTTCTTTATCATTTATAACTGCTTTTTTATTAAAAATTTATATTTAAAAAGAACATATAACAAAACAATTTATTTAATACATTCAGCTACACCCCAGCAAACAGTTGTTGTTTTTTCCCGTTAAAGTAAGGGTTAAATTCTTTTTCATAAAATTAATTAAATTTTTTCTTTAAAAGAACCTTTTAACTAAAAAATGTTGGAAAAAGTTAAAATGAGTTTCTTTGTATTCTTGCATAATTTTTTCAAGTTTCATTTTCTATAAAACATTTTTGTATATATTAAAAAAGAAAAATAATTCAATACAAATTGAAAAATACTTTTTATTAGAAATTGTGCCTAAATTAATTACATCAAGAAGAATATACAAACAACAACTTTCGTAAACATATATTACAAAGGAAATAATATAAAAACAATTGTTTTAAATAAAAATGCTTTATTTGCAATCTAATTCTATGCCTTGATTTTTAAGCATAAAACAAAATTGTGCCCATGTCAATAATACAGTGTCTTTTACATAAAAAAAGAGAGTAGCTTTCTTTGCATGAAATAAGGAATACAAATAAACATTAGCCGTTTAAGCATTATACAATGCCAAATGTCTTTTTTGCCAATGAATTTAAAAACTACGTTCGTTAGGACGTAGCATCGATTTTTTTTTTATACCTATTTTCAAATTTTCTTGAAAAAAAAAGCGCAAACATACAACATACTAACTTAGAGAAAAGTTAGTATGTTATATTAATATTATAAGAATAATTACATGACATGAACCACTTTTTCATATGTTAAAATATATTTTAGAAGTACAATGTTAGTGAAAAAACAACAACAAAAAAACAATACCATTCTTTCCTCAAGATTAAAAGCCCATTGATGATCACAGTTTTTTTGAGTGCATACTTATTTACTATATAAGACCATATATAATTTCCTGAATAAGTTGAATATATAAATATTTTTGTAATTAGTATATTGTTTTTTATATAAAAAGCAAATAAGTATATATCACGTCAAAATGAGAATGAACTTTTCTTTAAAATCTGCATTTTATATATATCAAATACTTTTATCCTTTCAGGCATTTGATATCGTTTCGTTTGATATCGAAGGTAGCAAATTTAAAAACGTCATAATTTTTTGAACGCTAGGAGATTATTGTTTCTAGAACTCAAAATTTATTTATGAAAACAAATTTACTTAAGAATAGTAAAAAAAAAAAAAAAATTAATCAACTTGATGCTTTCACGTTTTGGGGCAGTTGTAACTGAATTTTCGACGCTTTTTTGTTTTCAGTTTTTTTGAAAGCAACCTTATTTGACATATGTAATATATAAATGTTTGGAGCATAACTTATAGTTGCATAAAGGAAAAGCACATGAATTGTTTTTGAAAAACACGAGAAATTAATACATAAAGAAATTATATATAGGCTTCAATAGTTGTTCAGACATGTCAGGAACATTTGATAATTTACTTCAGTTTTAGTTGTTTTCCGAAGCTTTTTTTACATGAGCTTTTTTAAAACTTGTTATTTTAAAAAGGAACAAGTTAGAGCAGATAACCTTTTTGGTTTCGTATAGATTAATATAAAATCTCTTTGAAAAAATAGTTAGCATTGCAAAGAAAGTTGAAAGTTTTAAAGCTTAAAAGATGTATAAAATCAGAGTTACAACATTAAAGTTTTCTCAACTCATTTCTCACAGCTCATTTAAATACATATTCAAGTACTTTTGTTATTAAAGAAGATAAACAACAAATTTTTTATGAACAAAAAAATAAAATAAAATGATTTGCATTAAGGGAAACTATAAAGTTTAAATAATGATTCAACTTTGAAAAAGTTTTTTTAGTGTTTAACATAATTTCTGTTCAAATCAATTAATAAAGTAGTTGTTTCATTATAATTTAAGAATAATAATATATAATATATAATAGTAATAAATAATAGTAATAAATAATAATAATAATTAACAATAATAAATAATAATAATAAATATTAATAATAAACAATAATAATAAATAAAATAATAATAAAAAGAAACTGTAGGAGGCGCTTTCAATAGTAATGCATACAATTTTTTGCTAAAACACGACAGAATATTTAATACTTACTGTATCTGTGCTCTAGTATAATTACTCGACCTGGTTAGTAGGTTTTTAGATTAAAAGAAAAAAGAGGTCAGTTTTTAATTGTTATGAAATATAGGCATGTTTAATAGCAATAAAAAAACTGGCCTCCTAATTCTGTGAATAGTTGACATTGCAATATTTTTTCATGTTTTTAAAAAACATGAAAGATTTTTAATTTTTTAGAGGATAATAGAGGATTTTAGAGGTCGTTTTTTGAAAAAGAACTTTAGAGGGTTTTAGAGGAGCTGTGGTCACTCTGATTATAAATGAAGTAAGAGTCTAATAGATTACCTCAGCTTAATTTTGTGTATTCTATCTTTTAAAGACGTTCTATTAACTAATTGTAATTAATTTATCTGTAAAAAAAGTAAGTATATCTAATATGATGTTTGTGGAGATATATTACATTAAGGAGAACTATTCAAACCTACCAAGTGAAAACCTGATGCAAATATATATATATATATAAATATATATATATATATATTTACCAATATATATATATATATATATATATATATATATATATATATATATATATATATATATATATTTACCAATATATATATATATATATATATATATATATATATATATATATATATATACATATATATATATATATTTATATATATATATATATATATATATATATATATATATATATATATATATATATATATATATATATATATATATATATATATATATATATATATATATATGTATATATATATATATATATATTTATCTATAGATTTAATCAATGAACAACTAGAGGTGAGGTGCATTGACACTTTATCTAAATCTTTGATTTTAACTGAACCTGTAAAGTATAATTACTAATTTATAGAAAAAATTATAAGTTTTTATTTATTTTTAAGTATAAAAATTGAAATTTATATAGTCCAAGCACATAAAAGTAACTTGGGAAATAATCAGGAAATTTTCTTTGTTTATGTTTTCTTTTTTGTAAATCAACATTCTCATTAATAATGATAATGAATCAATTTATCAATTTTCTTTCGTAGTTGTGAAATTAAAATTTTCACAATTCTGTTTGCTTTCTGTGGAATTGAAATAGTTATATTAATGTTTATTAAAGTTGTTAACAAGATCAAAAGAAGCAAGGCCAAGACCAAGGTCAAAAAATACAAGGACAAGGCAAGGCCAAGACCAAGAGTTTTAAGGTCAAGGCCAAGGTTAAGAGTACCATATTTTGATAAAATAGACCAAGGTTATGAGCAAAGTTCAACCAAATCAATAAGAAAAAATATATATTTTTTTAAGGCCAAGGCCAAAACAATCAAAGCCAAAGTTAAAATTTTTAGGGCCAGACCAAAGCCAAGGCCAACATTTTCAAGGCCAAGGCCAAGACAATGGCCATGACCAAGCCCAAGACTAAGGACTAACAACTCTGATAGTTATATATTTTGTATCAACAAAATAACTCTTCTTACCTCACTATTTAACCTTTTAAGACAAAACGCCGTAATATTACGGAGGACCTTTTTATGCGTTAAGGAGCTCCGTCGTAATAATACGCACTGAGATAAGGTGTTACTTATAGAGTTTGTAACACCCTAAAATTAGTCATACATTTTTCAAACCTCAATTTTAAGATTCTTGAATGTTCTATGGAACTAATATGCACAAACTTAAATGATTTTTGTGTACATTGTTCTTATATTAAATTTGCATTAGTAAAAAGTTGCGTTTTACTCAAAATAACCCGCACATTTGGATGTATGTCTAAAAAAAAAGTGCCGCTGAAAAGGTTAAAAAATAACAGTTATAATATATGGATGTAATACCTGAAGAGAACTTAGTTTTTATTTGTGGAAATTAAGTCAATTCTTCTCGGCATTTTAGTGCAGTCAATGGTTTGGTACCTGGAGGCCAATAAACAGTTTTATCACTAATCCAATTAGATGGAATTACACCTTCTTCTTTTTGTAAATCTTTATTCCACATCTTTGATTTTGAAAATATTATATGAACTAATAATAAATAGAAAAAACCATAATATAAGTGTACTAACAGGCCTAGTTAAACTAGCTAAATCTGGACATTTTATAACCATGATACTTGCTAAACAATAATATTAGTAGACATTATTAGCAAAGATAAGATTTTCTTTATTTTTTAAATTTATTATATTTTAAATTTATTTTTATTAATATATTTATTGTTTTATTATTCAGCAGAGTTCTGAACATATTATGTTCAAATGCAATAAAGAAAAATAACTCAAGGTAATAAAGAAAAATAATGAAGAATCCCAGGTTGCTAAAACATAAATATCTTCATAAGAGTAATAGCGGAATATTGAACAAAAATAGAATTCAATAGTAATATAAAATATAATAGTATAATATACGATATATTATAAAATATCACACAATATAAAATATTATAATATAAAATATAAAAGTAACTAATATTAAAAAAGAAAACATTTCAATAAATAATAAATTTTAATTAAAACAATTTTAAACACCAAAAATTAATTTGTAACTTATTTTTTGCTCATCTTCATCTTGTTTTTTTTTTTATTTATTTTTTGTTATTTAGGTGCTCCTAGAAGTTCTTGCAATCTTATCACGGAGCACCGCGGGAGAACATTTAACTAGAAGTTCACGCCTCCTTCCTTACCAATGTTGCTTATTGGGCTAGAGCCACGTCGAACCTCGAACCTCTGGGTTCTGAGCCAGAACTTTAACCACTGTGGCACGGCTGCTCTAATAAACATCAATATTAATACCAATTTTTAACATTATTAGAATTTTTGTTTTTAATAAAAATAAAAATATTATATCAGTTACTTTTTCGGCTCTTCTTATTTTACTTAAAACATTAACTCAACCCTATGTTTTTTCATAATTAAGTTTTTATTGTAACGTTGAATTACACTGAAAACAAGATATTAGTAGACAACGAGTAAATATTTCTTTATTGAAATATATGTAAATATTTCAAAAAAGAAATTTTAGATTAATTGTTATAAATATAAACTTATAACAATCTTTTCAAAATGGAGCGAATTTTAAGTCAGATAAAATCCCTTCAATTAAAGTTTAGTCGCTCCATCATATTTTATAGAAGAAGCAGTAAATAATAAATAAAATAAAAAATAAAATACTCAAAAAGAAATTTTGGAATATATAACAAATGAGAATAAAAAGGTTTTACATAATTTATAAAGGTATACTATTCAAAACACCATATAAATTAGTGCTCATAAATCATATATTTCCACCTTTCCCCTTCAAACTGACGAAGACCATAAAATTGTTGGAAAATATTCTAAATTTTAATAGATAAGAGAACTAATATTAATTACGTGAGAATTAATATAGTTTTTTTTTTTTTTTTTTTAAAATATTTAAATTAGACTCATTATCAAACAAATTTTTTCTAAATAATTTAATCCTTAAAATTCATGAATAATTGAAAATTATTTTGATTACCTCAGCATTGTTTTGTGAATTCTGTCTTTTAAAGATATTCCACCAATTAATTGTAATTGATTCACCTAAAAAAACAACATGTAAAGCTAATATTATTGTTTAAAGTTTTAATTATCTTTATACAAATATTCATCATATTTTTTTAAGTAACTGATAAAAATGGCACTAATTAAAATCACTTGATTTGTTCTGCTAAAATTTAATAACAACTTTAGTCCTGATCTACCCTACATCATTGCTTTAAACTAATATTAAAAATAGAAAAACAGAATAAAAGCATTTTATAGCAAGGAAATGCACTGATTCACCCACTATAAAAATTAATTTACAATTTCATGTTATTTTTTTTTATATCATCCTGGTCATGACATTTAAATTGATCTTATATTAGAACAGGCATAGTTTTTTAGCAAAGCTCAAAACCCACCTTCGAGAAGAAAAGCTTGGATATAAAACTCTCAGTTTCATCGTGTTGTAAAAAATTGCCTAACCTGACTCCTAATGTATTATAATCATATTAATGAAAATAAAACTGTAGAAATTAAACATCAATTGCGCTTAAAACCATTGAAATTGTACTACCAAATAAGTGATCGTCCACAAAGTTTTTTCGTCCACTTCCCCCCCCCCCCCCCATCCGCATTTTGCAATACGCTTTTTGATACCTTCCACCTTCCTAAAAGTACCTAAGCTTTTAAACTATTTATCTAACATTTTGAGAAATTTTTTTTAAGTTAGTGTCTCCTTTTTTTTATATTTGACCCACTGCCCTTCCATCTCATATACGTCATTTGCAGACCCCCTCTTCCCCTCAGAGGGTACGTACTTTATGGACGAATCATAAGAAGCCATTGTTCTATTATATACATTTATAAGTTTTTTTAAGTTTTGACTAGGGATAAAGTTTACCATAAAATATACTGTAAAGTATACCATAAACAAAACTTTTTTTTTTGGCCAAGACGTATTATCGTTTATAAAAAAGTTTTTACGGTAAACTTCTAAAAAATGTTTTTTGTTTTTTTATTAAATGTTTTTGTTTGTGCATTTTATTATAATATTTACAAAATGTTTCATTATAAACAGTATTTTTAGAGATAGATATAAGGTAAGAGCAGCACAAAAAGCGTGGTATAAAAAATTATTGGTATAACACAATAACAAATTAACAAACTAAAATAAAAAATATTAAAAAAACAAATTAAATATGTAAATTTCAAAACGAATTTTTAAAATCCAATGCTTTTATATGTTTATATTAAAACACAAATTTTGCATCAATTTTGTCTGATATTACTGTTTTATTTTATTAAGATTCGGCTATGGTGTATGCGTGTATAAAAAAACAAAGAAGTTAAGGAAGATGCGGATCTCGAAACTTAAGCATTCCGCATACGAAGTCAAACTCTTATCCAAATATTTTAAACGCGAAAAAAAAAAAGATTAAAAACAATCAATATACTAATTTTAAAATTTATTATTCTTTTCTTCATATAAAAAATTAACTTAATTAAAATAAACTAAATTAATTGATTATTACAAAATTAATTATTGAATATTGTATTGGGATCAAAAAAGAGTATGTATGCTTATTTTGAAGACAATCTATTATCAGGAAGTCCCTCAAAAATTGATTGCAAGATTTTCGTACTCACAGACAAACAAAACAGATAATAAAATAAATATAATATAACTATTTAATTAGGAAATATAATCATTAAATTATCAAGTCAGTCCAGAAGTATTTCATAAATAAAAGTATATAGGTATACAAAATAGTATACTAAAATTTAGTATACCAAGTAAACGGTAAAGTTTACCGTATAGTTAGTATACCGTATACTGTAACTGGCGATCCCTAGTTTTGACATAAAGCGTTAAACATAAAATTAAAAAAAATTCTGAAACTAAAGGGTATCTAATTTTGGTACCTTGTTTCTTATTTTCTTATCATCATTGTATACTGAATTTTTAAAATACTCTTTTTATTTAATTGAACTAAAAACTCAAAATTAAAAAAAACCCACAACTTTTACTCACAACTTTCATTATAAAAAGTATTTCAAATTAAAAAATTTCCAAAATAAATTTTGTTAATGATTTTTCCCAAAACACAAGTTGTATAGTAAGTTGTAACATATTCTTTTTCTCAATAAAATATAGTAAATAAATTTATAAAGTAATGACTTATATCTATATTTATATATCTGTATATAAATAAAATTATAAAATAATGACCTATATAAAAAATAAAGAAAATAAAAAAACAAAAAAAACAAAACAATATGGATGTAATCGTTCTTTCAATCTTTACTGTTTTCCAAGTTCTTTAAAAAATTCTAGAGAAAGAGAAAAGCGGAAAATCTTATTGAAAAGGGAAGGTAAAAATAAGAAAAAATAAAAACCATGCGACAGTGATCGTGTATGTTCAATGCATTTTGTAGATGAAACACCTACCATTGCTAATCCAGATCCAACTTTAAATATGGGATACAATTCTACAAATATTAGGCCAAAGAAAGAGTTTAAATAAACGTTGTCCAAAATCAAACATTTTAACAGAATGTAATGACACTAATTATAATACAACTGAAGATAATACCAATTAGTTATGCAGTAATAAAGACGATAATACAATTTATCTACCACCGCCAAGCTATGAAAAATCATACGCTAACCAGTATTTGATAAATGTGTGTGAAGGATGTAATTCTAAAACGTTTTTAATTGATTCTCTTGTCACAAAAATTTAATTTCTTGAATATATCCTTGAAGCAACTAAATCAAAAACAAGTTAATCAAACTAAGAAACTATTGATTTTTTCATGCAACAAAGTTAAAACAGACAAAAAAATGAGCCTTTATACAAGGATATCTACAACAGCTTTATTTAATGCCATCTTCTTACTTATTATACCATTTCTTCAAAAGCTTAGTTACTGGCGAGGACCAAAACATGTTTAGAATACTAGCAAATTAAAGCACAGATTTCAGTCAACCAATTATAGAAAACTTTCTCATTGTGACAAATGTTTTTTTAACACTTATGCGACTTCGTCTTGGTATTCTTAATGAAGACATTGCAGAACGATTTGGAATTTCTCCTACTACTTCTTCTTACATATTTACCAGATGGATTAAACTTATAAGCAGTGTTTTAGGTAGTACTCTTATTGTATGGCTTCCACGTAAAACCATCAGGGAAAGTAAGCCTAGGGTTTTTAAGAATGTAGGGTATTACAAGTGTTGTGTGATTATTGATTGTGTTGAAGTCAATAATTCAAGAGATGGAAATATAAGACCTTAAAGTTGTTAAATAATAGTATTCAAGGAATAATGTGTTAGCACAGGAATCTGCACTAATACTTTTCAAAACTAAAAAGTTTAATTTTTTACAAAGTTTATACAAACTCCTTTTTGGCTTTATGTTAGCATCGAACATACACGATCACTGTCGCATGGATTCTACTTTTCATTTTTTACCTTCCGTTTTTAATAAAACTTTTCACTTTTCTCTTTCTCTAGAACTTTTTTTTAAAAACTTGGAAAACAGTAAAGGTTGAATGGAAGATTACAACTTCATTGATCCTTTTTCAAACCTTCAGGAACATTACATTCTTGTAATTGTATATGTTTCGAAAAAAAAAGGCTATGAAAATGTCATTAAGTCAAATAAAGATTCTTTGCAAAAAACTGCGATGTTGAAGCCTGCGAACAAAAAAGACCTAAAACATTGGCCTCCCTGGCCTAAACTTAAAAGCAACAAGTTGCACTTACCTAGCCCCTTTCTGATACAGCACTAATAATTATACGTTACGAACTTATAAAAAATTTACTTCGCATTGAAATACTTTCCTAACAATATATCATGCTTACAAGTCCATAGGGAAAATATTTTTTATTATGCCTCAATTCGCACTTTAAACTTTAACCATAGAGGCCCGTATCTTAAAATATTTGAATATGTGTGTGTGTGTGTGTGCGTGTGTGTGGGTGTGGGTAGTCGTTTTTGAAAAAAGAGCACTTTATAGTACCAAATAAACATATTGCTTGTTTTTTATATTAAAACTTATGCAACAAAGAGGACAAGTGTTAGAAGGAGAGGGCAATTGCTATAAAAAGGAGTGTCAACCTCCCCTCGCGTTCGATGTCGAAATGCTGGGATTGATATTGGACAATCCCGGGATTTCGGGAATATAAAAAAGTAACAGCCATATAATTTTGACACAGTGGCGGATACAGGTTATTGTCCTAGGGAAGAGCGGGGTGGGGGGTAGTCTGATCAAAAAAAAAAAAAGTCAACAATTTTTTCGATAAAACCATTGTTTCATTTGATCCTTTAGAATGGTTTAAG